TCCCAAAATGTGCCCAAAACAACTCAGACTTGTCCAAAATGACTTCAAATTTGTGCAGAATAGGATAAAAAAAAAAACCCAAAATGAACCTAAATCTAACTTTGAACTTTATCATTAGAGTCCTTTTTGCTCCACAGGTCAGACTGCGCTATACTTTGCAGCTGCACTACAGTTTGTGTCTCCACAGACTACCAACAGCTGATCCCGCCTTGAGGGGACTGCTTTCCCATGATCGGCCTGCTTATTAAAAACCAATGCACATTTACTTTTAAATCAGACTCTCAATTACCGAGATGTTTTCTTCGGGTTAAACAACTTGATTAGCTGTAAACACGCTCGGAAAGGTCGGCTGCGAACGGGGTTAAAGGTTAAATAACTCCTGCTTTCAGTGCAAGGTGTAAAATAACTGGAACTTTGAGAACAGGCTGTAAAAAAAACTGTTTAAGCTTCAGCAACACGATTATGCCAGTGATTATACGTAGAAACCCAAACCTCTAGGCTCACTTGTTTTAATCAGAAGGGTAATAAATGTAGGTCAGGGTTCCAGGTAGTTCAATCCAGCTCATGTCTCCGATGTTTTCTCTCTCCGCTGCACTTTGTCCAAGAAAAAAAAAAGGTGTGATTAAAATGGAAAGGGATCAATGTAAATGTTTGTACTCTGCCTGTGGTCTGTACAGTCTCGCTTTACTGTGTGTGTGTACATGCAGTTTATGTTCAGGCCGACGTGTCCGGACGTGTGTGTCGGTGTGTGTTTGAGGAGTAAATAAGATTGAACTGATGCACACTTGCACATAGACAAACACACAGACTTACAGAGAGCGAGGCCAGCAGGCATGGATGTGAGCTCCATGCTAAAGAAGTGGTGTGTATAAATTTGCCTAAGTGTTTGGCCAAGGTCTGCGGCTGTGTGTGCAATCGATGTGCCAACAGCAATAAATCAGCTCGGGACAGACCTGAACGCCTCCACAGCTTCATCTGATGTGGCAGGTGGGCTTCAGGACGGCCCTGACGCACCGCCGCCGCGACACACACAGTCGTGAAGGCCTGAATAATTCAGGCTTTTTCCTGGATCAGATAAGATGCTGATCAGCTTGAGAGGAATTAATGATATAATATATCAAGTGACGATATTTTGTCACATATTTTTTTTTTGCTGATTAGATGTGGCTTTAAATGATTTTTTCAACAAGAAACTTAGAGGCCGGGTAGTCTCATATAGTCAGGTCTGCTGTGTCAGCGCTGGAGAATGGACTCGCTGCAGCTATTATCATTCTGCTGTTCGGGGGGAAAAAAAAATGCTTTTGCTTGTTTGTATTTCTTTAAACCAATCACAAGTATTGATGCAACATTGTGCTTGAGGGGGGACTTGTTTTGGTGGAAATTAACTATTCTGCTAATGTACATATGGGCTGCAAGGTGGCTCGTTGCCTTGCAGCAAAAAGGACGGCAGATCGCGTCCCCGGTGGGGGCACCGGAATCTTTCTGCGTGGAGTTTGCATGTTCTCCCCGTGCAGCGTGGGTTCTCTCCGGGTTCTCCGGCTTCCTCCCACACAGTCCAAAAACATGTTGAGGTTAATTGGTGATTCTAAATTGTCCGTAGGTGTGAATGTGAGTGTGCTTGGTTGTCTGTCTCTAAGTGTAGCCCTGTGATAGACTGGTTACCTGTCCAGGTGAACCTGCCTTCGCCCTGAGTCGGCTGGGATAGACTCCAGCCCCCCATGACCCTAGTGAGGATTAAGCGGTGTATAGAAAATGGATGGATGGATGGATGCTAATGTACATATATGTAAATATACAAGATGAATACATGATGTGAGTTCATCCACAATTTAGTAAACACACACACGGCTGTTTAAATTAGGACTGCAACAACAGAAGTATTTTAAATATTCCATGTTTCCGTCTTGTTTTCCTTTCATTTGCGCATCCTCGGTCACTTTCCTAACAAATTCCCTCATCCGTGAAAGCCATTTTCTCCCCCTTCTGATCTAATTCCGACATTAAAAGGGAGACTTTTTAAATCGCTAACTTGTTTATTCAGCTCACAGACGTCCTCCTCCTTCCTCTCATCTCTCTGTCCCAGTTTAGTCGAACACAGCTCCAGACATCGCCGAGACTCCGCCGGCTGCCGGAGCTGCGCGGCCGCCGAGTCCAGCCGGAGCCGCCCGGTTCTCACTTATTTATAGAAAAAGCACATCAGAGGGAGTGAGATAAAAATGCTGCGAAAAATAGCCGCTCTTATCATGTCGTTTAGTACAATACGTGAATGTTTCATGCGTCTTTTCCCATGAAGTGTGTTGGTTTGTTGTGCACGGGCGGCGTCTCGAGTGTGTGTGTGTGGGCATGTCCGTTTCATGTCGGTTGAATTTATGTGCGTCGAGGGCACAATGAAGGCAGGAGAGTGTTTAGAAATGCTTCTGACCGCATACTGTACGTGTGTTGTATGTTCACATTTGTGTATGAGTGTGTGTGTGTCCAGGATGCTAACAGTGGCCGCATTGTCCTGATGGGACGAGGCAACAGCATCGTCATCTGGGCCACTGTAATCACGGCTGGGCTCGAGATGAAAGACACTATTGATGAGAAGTTTTCTGAGAGAGGAGAGCGAGGGAGAGAGAGAGGGATGAATGTAATGAAAGGGAGGAGTAAGGAGCAGCAGAAATAGGAGACAAGAATAGTTTGCTGACCAAACTCCATTATGAAACAAGCCTATGCCTTGTGCTTGGTATTGAGTCGCCCCAATGAACCAATGAACTAATAAAAAGAATGTTGGACGGCTCTGAATGTGGGTAGCCTTTGAACCGCTTGCAGTACCGCAGTGGACCAGTACGACAAACCTGGCAGGGAGGCCGATCTGTTAAACCATAATGAGAAGAAACAAACCTTAAGCTGGCTGCCTCCGGACTCATCAACCTGTTAGAAGACTATCCATTTTGTCACATTTGTTTAATAAACTTTCATGTAAATCTTTAATAAACCAGGACGTTTTCCCGTCTCCTGTTACTGGCATCGTCTTATCAAGATCACCGCCGTTAGCCAAACGGATTAACTCTCACATGGCAAACGCTGCGAGTATTTCCAGCTTGCATGGCATCGTTTCCCTTTCACAGAGAATGAATGAAATTATTTGGTTGACTGGATGATTACCTTTTGGTTGTGGTTTGCTCGTTAGAGGAAGATGTGCCTGGGCACGGTGACCAGGTCTACTGCAGAGTGACCAGTCTGGGCTGGTTAGAGGACAATTCAATTTAGTGTCTTTTTGAAGCTATTTACAGCAACAAAAGGGAATCTGCTTCTGTTGGAATTCTATTTAGCAAAGGTTGGGGATGTTGATGATGAATGATTAATTGCCAGCACTAATTAAACCAAGTACAATTATGTAAACTAAAAAGACAGAAGGTGGAGACATCACCACCAGGCCTCTTGTGTTTTTAACGACTGTTTAAAGACGACAGCATTTTGTCAGTATTTAATACAACCCAAGGAGGTGGTTGTTCAGACTGTGAGTGAGCTGGACTGTAAATGAGTTGTTTTATGGTGGTTGTGTCATATTTGGATAATGATTATTGTGACCATCAGCATTATGGGGGTTTAGTTAGCAATGGGCCACCATGACAGACTTCTGTAACACTTGATGGCTTCCGGCTAGTGTTCCTACAGCCATTCCTATAGCCGTGTGATTGATGTAAACGAGCCCATGATGGAGTTTTTTTAAATCAAAACATTGCAATATGTCCACTGTATTTCATTATTTTAACAGTTAATCCATTTTTGACTGATAATGTCATAAACATTACAACATTTGTAGCCCTAGCCAGGATGTGTTTCTCGACAAAACTGTCATCCATCATCTTCATCGCACAATGATGGTAATTATGGCAAATAACACATGATTCACAAAACTTCGCCTGTCCCCAAGTGCATTCTGGGATAATCCCCTGGCATCCCTTGAACCCGAGTCGGACAGGCGGATATAGAAAACGGCTGGATGGATGGACGTAGTGGGAAGTAGATGGATGGTCCATCTTGCTTTCCTTTTTCCTCGGCTCTTTTTCTTAGTTTTCACTTATGGCAATCTTTCCTGCCATCTCCGCTGCCTTTATATTGAACTGGTATGATGCCAAATAGCTTTCACTTCGCTCCCTCTTACTGTGACTCCTGTTTTATCTGCTTGGACCAGTGCTCTCTCTCTCTCTCTCCTTTCTTTTTTAGAAGCAGGCTGCCTGTATTTCTCTGCTCTGTTGCTCCGTAGTAAATATACTTTCGAATTCTCCGTGCAGCCCTGCTTTGTAATTTATGGATGTTTGCCTGCTATCACGATGCTTGTGCATGTTTTTGTATGTATGTAGCGTGTAAGTCTCCTCGTCTACATGCGTGTTCTGTTTCAAGTCCATCCTTTTAGGTGTGCATGTGTTTCTGTGTGGACTTTGTCTGCTGAATCCTTTAATACCTCCAGACAATCAATACGCAGAGGAGCAATGTTTGGCCCTGTCTTTTTTTAAAAGATGCACTCCACACAGTGGTGCGAGCCAAGAGTCGAGAAGTCAATAAAACAAAGCCGATAGTGCCCTAATTTTTTTTTTTTTCTCTTTTTTTTGTGGATTGCAGCAACGAGGCCTCTGAGTCTGAGTCCGTGGGCGAATATTTAGTGTCCTGTCATTCCGATACAAACGAATGAATTCATTTTGTTAGATCCGTGGAAGTGCGAAAACACAAGTCCATGTAAATATTGACATCTGTGTTTGCTAAGATTTTGCTTTTGTTTTCCCTTTTCTCAGGGCTGGTGGCAGACGAGGCTGAGGATTGGGGGATGAGGTTATAAAAACAACAGCAGAGAACGGAGGAGAAAAAAAAAAGGAAGGAGAAGTCGATTGCTCGGAAACGCTTCTTTTGTATCCGTGCACCCTGCAGTCCTACAAGGCTCTGACTGACCCCGTAAAGGATTACACCCCATCAAAAATACACACCTTCTTCCTCGCACGCCCCCTCCCCTCACCGCCATGTCCTCCCACCTCCACCCGCCCCTGCTCATCCCTCCCATCCTCTTCCTCCTCCTCTCCCTCTCCATGACTTCCACCTCTACTGCTCCTCCCCCATCTTCCCTCCTCTCCTTCTCCCCGCCGGAAGGAGGTCTCACGCATCTGGTGGTCCACAACAAAACCGGAGAGGTCTACTTGGGCGCCGTCAACTGGATCTACAAGCTGTCCAGCAACCTCACCAAGCTACGGAGCCACGTCACCGGACCTGTCACGGACAACCCTCGCTGTTACCCTCCGCCTGGCGTCCAGTCCTGCCCCCATGAGCTGGTGCAGACTTCTAATGTCAATAAACTCCTCCTACTTGATGCGGCCCACAACCGCTTAATTGCATGTGGGAGTACTTCCCAGGGAATATGCCAGTTCCTGCGTCTGGATGATTTATTCAAGCTCGGCGAGCCCCACCACCGTAAAGAGCACTACCTATCCAGCGTCGCCGAGGCAGGCACCATGTCCGGCGTCGTGATCTCCCCAGATATCTTCGGCGGCGGTGGGAAGCTTTTTGTCGGCACTCCCATCGACGGGAAATCTGAATACTTCCCAACGCTGTCGAGTCGCAAGCTGATGTCCAACGAGGAGAACGCCGACATGTTCAGCTTCGTCTACCAGGATGAGTTCGTCTCCTCTCAGCTCAAGATTCCCTCAGACACGCTCTCTAAGTTCCCCGCGTTTGACATCTACTACATCTACGGCTTCAACAGCGAGCAGTTTGTGTATTACCTCACCCTGCAGCTCGACACCCAGCTCACTTCGCCCGACGCGAGCAGCGAGCAGTTCTTCACCTCTAAGATCGTCCGCCTGTGCGTCGACGATCCCAAGTTCTACTCCTACGTTGAATTCCCCATCGGCTGCACCAAGGACGGAGTGGAGTACCGCTTGGTTCAGGATGCTTACTTGGCCCGGCCGGGAACCCGTTTGGCACGTTCGCTTGGCATTCAAGATCACGAGGAGGTTCTGTTTACTGTATTCGCCCAGGGTCAAAAGAACAGAGCCAAACCGCCCAAGGAGTCGGCTTTGTGTCTGTTCACAATGAGGCAGATAAAGGAGAAGATTAAAGAGAGGATTCAGTCGTGCTACAGAGGAGAAGGAAAACTCTCCCTGCCCTGGCTGCTCAACAAGGAGCTGGCCTGCATCAACTCGGTGAGTCTTTAAGTCAGTAGCTTCCAGAGGGGGTTTTTGGGGGATCATGCTGTCTGTACAGATTGTTCCAGGAAGTTTGTGGTTGTATGAATACGGTTGTTTTCACTTTCACATCATGTTAAGTGTTGTTTCTTCTTTGCAGAATATGACATTTTTAGTTGAGTTTAAGCAGCTTAGTTTCTACTTCAGCTGAATAGCATCCTACCAAAAGCACTGCAGCGGGTTCGATGTGTGTCAGAACCACACACGTCTGTTCAGCTGAGGAACATTTACTAGAAATTCTGTTTATTCCTCTGGAGATGAAAATGCAGATTACTACTTCTTAATGAAGTGCAAGGTGATTTCTTGGTAGTAAAAACAATCAAACCAGAACTCTGTGTGGAAACAGCCTGAAGGCAGTCTCCGCCCTGGCAGGATTGCAGATTACCAACGAGCTGCTTGTGCATCCGCGTGACTTTCTCTGGTTCACCTATAAGCGGAAAGAATGAATCTCAACATATTCGTTAATGTAGGAAGCAGTTTTGTTCAGGCCAAAGCAATCAAAGTGTGGAATAAATGCTGCACTATAGGTGATACTGTGGGCAGCATGTTTAGTGAGGGAGCTATACGGATTCAAAAGTGAAGCATCTATTTTCTATACAATAGCCAAAGTTACACACAGTGTGTAATGCTGCGAATCCCCGTAAACCTACCAAATGTGAAACTAGACAAACTAAATTAGAATAAATCCGTCGCTGGTTGTCAAGTACTTCTGGAAGAAATCTCTTAGAACTAACATTGGCAGGAGCTGGAGGGATAAAGAGGTTTTTTTTTTTCTTTTTTTCTTTTTTCTCTCTCATCATGAATGAATTTTAATATTTTTCAAAAAATGTCTCTTCAGTTAGTCTGAGGACGGGACAGCTGTCTCTCTGAGCTGCTGTCAGTTTGCTGCGGAATAATTCCATCTCCGGGTTGTGGATGGCTTGTCTCTGCTTTTACTCATAGATGAGCTGGCCTAAGGGTGTCTGAGAGACTTAAGTGTGTGTGTGTGTGTGTGTGTGTGTGTGTGTGTGTGTGTGTGTGTGTGTGTGCGTTTCACCTGCTCCTGTCACCCGCATGTCACACACACTCACAGCCCTGTATCCTCATGAATAATTCACCTGGCCTCACCTTCTGTTATTCAGTCGGTGCTCCATAACAACCTGCCATAAATCTCTGGACTACTCTCCACCTCTCTGTCTTCAGCTCCTCTTTCTCTCTCTCTCTCTCCGCTATTCCATCTTCTACTTCTCTCTCATGCCTTTCACTCCAGTCCCATCATTTGCATAAAGATTTCTTTCATTTTACTAACCCCATTCTCCCACCGCTCCTTCTTTTATCTTCTTTTTTTCTTCTTCTTCTTCTTACTCTGTTTCCCTCCCACAACTCCTTTTTTTTTTCCTGACCTCTTTTCTTTGTCTTTAGTTCTGACCTTTAACCCTCCTCCGTTTTCTCGCTCTTGTTTCTTTCGCTGCTCTTTAGCTCCTTCCCTCTCGTCGCCGTCTCTCTCTCTCTCTCTCAAGCTTTTGCTCTTTCGCCATCTTTCTCTGCCCTCTCCTTGACTTTCCGCTGAGTGATGAGGTATAGAGTGACTTAGCGTGTTAAGCCAAAGCCCTGGATGTGATCTGAAAATACAATGCGGAGGGGAGACGATGTGGTGATAAAAAGGTGGGAGCAGAGCGATGGGGAATGACACAAGGTGGGAGTTGTGGCTTTAATTCCAAATATTGGAAGGAAGGGAGGATGTGCATAGAGGGTTGGGTTGGAAGACGAACTGGGAAGCAGGCGGAGAGGAGGACTGGAAGATGTGAGGGGAAGTTATAGAGATGGAGAATAATTGGAAGCCTGGATGGGGAAAGGAGGATGGATAGAGAAAGATGGAAACAAACAAGGAAATGCTCAAGGTCAGTGAGGGCGAAGAAGTATTTGATCTTCTCGACTGGGAGAGGCCTGATTGGACGCTAGTGGCGTGCTTGACAAATGACCGTCCAACGGTAAAACTGAGATGCCAAGCTGCTGGTTTGACACGTGGACGGGAAGTGAAGGGACGATGTGTACTTTGGAGAACTGAACAGATTTATTTTCACTTAGTTGAAGAAAACTGGAAGGAGTTGGAAGGCTTTTAAAGTTCACTTCAGAGCTGAAGAAGCCTTTTTGGATGAGAAGTGAAACATCTTCAAGAACCAGAAAACAGCTGTTGAGTTGCCCCTCACTGGATGATTTGACTGAACCGATGTGTGCTGCTTCTGAAAAGCTACCAAAGCATGTTCAACGGTGTACCATTATGTCACTAACTAAGACTGTGTTGCACTCTGGGATGGGTCGGCTAAGCAAGGCTAAGGTTTGGTTTGTTTCTCAGATGAAACGGAAGTCATAGACGATGATTTAAGGCAGGGGTGTCAATCTCTAAAACACAGTGGGCCAAAATTTAAAACCTGAACAAAGTCGCAGGCCAACATTGAACAAATGAACCTTTTAATATGGACCGAAACAAACTTTGCTTTAACATTGAATATGGAACAAGTTATTACCATACATTATATATAACTTAATAGTGGAGACATGCAAAATCAAATTATAAATAAAAAAACACATCAATGGCACAGTGACAGTGTGAAGTCGCTATGCCTACTGTCACAGAGGAGAGGGAGTTTCTGGGTCCTGTCCTGATTGACGCGCCAAAACAACAACAGGGCATTATGGGATTTGTAGTATTAGCGGTGAATGCGCTGTACAGTATAATACCGGGGGCAGCTCTAGTAGTCATTTGGTATTGTGTCACAGGCCAAATATAATTACACCCCTGATTTAAGGGCTGTCACAAAGTTGAAAATCTAATGAAATAAAAAGACGACATGCTTTTCGAACCTGCCGATGGGTTTTGTGTCCCAAGTTCTCGGTATCGCTCAGTAAGCTTGTGAGTTACGTCGGGGGCTGCAGCGGGTTTCAGGTTGGGAGACAAAAACTACATTTACAACACTGGAGTTGTTAAATCTATATCTGTTTTAGTTTTACAGATTGGTGGCTCCTCAGTTGTTATTGAATTGAGCTCAGCAGTGGTACTCCCTTGTCTACACTGCTGGATTTGTATCGTTGTTGTCATTGTCTCCCATATGTTTTATTAACCTCTGATCCGGGCCCTCCTACTCGTGCCGCACTGCACAATGTTTTCCCGCTAAACGGAGAGAAAGTCAGTGTCAGCTGGACACAATATGTGTCTTAAATTACAGAATCACACTCAGCAGGTTATTGTTATCTTTGCTCATTTAAATTCCTTCTTAAAATTGTCACAGCTTACGCAACACAACAACAACATCTCTGTCACGAGCCCGCCGGTGCTGTGCAAGCACCATGTGGCCTTGTACTATAAAAGTGTACTGTATGTGCATGTGATTATGCTAATGAGCGTACAGTTACATGATTGTCCTTTATGGCCATCTGTCGTTCTGCCTGCGATCGATCAAGGTCGTGTCGGCGGAGCTTCGCGCTGGGACGCCGTTGTGATGAATTTATCATCTCCTCGTACAGGCATGTTCAGTGTTTCCTGATGAGAGCGGTGACAGCTCGTTGCCTCTGCGCCCGTGTCATGTGGAAACTTTCACAGCGACTCATTTCGCGCGACAAGGTCGGGTCACTCAGTCAGCGCTTAGGCGCTCCTCTCTACCTGGAAGCCATCAAACTTTATCGCGGTATGAAGCACCTGAGAAAATCATTTTCTAAGTGCTGAGTATGGAGCTCCTATGACAGTGTCGCCCCTTTGAATCATCGCTGTGTTTCATTGAACAAGAGAAATACGTTTACTTTTCCTGTTGCAGGAGGGCCAGTCATGTATATGTTTAAGTTTTTGAGTGTCTAAACGGGGTTGCTCAAGCAATGGGCTGAGATTTGGCACAGACTGCTGTTAAATAATAATTTCACTGATTACAATTTTTGCAATTGATTAGGCTGAAAATAAAGGAAATGCATGTCAGAAAATGTGTTGTACATTAGCTGTAGTACCTACTTTTGTGCTATTTGATGAGGTGAAAGACTGCAGCTGGTTTGTATTTAACGCTAAGCGGTGGTCACTCAGACTGTGGACAGGTCGTGTTGTCAAGCAAGGAGCATCGGGAGGGTTTAGCTAGCAACGGGCCATCATGAAGGTTAATGGCGACCCACGAGACCCACATGAGGTCACATAATGAAGATGTGCCATAATCTACAAAGACTAAGCCACGTTAAATGCAGAAATGGTTATATTGACACATGGGACAGCAGAATAATAATATTTGTAGGTTACAATTAATTCATTACTGATTGATGCTGCTGCTGACTGTCATTTTCTGTTTTTACAGTTTCTGGCCCTGATAAATGGTGTAATTTTGATTGTTTTTTAAAAAAAACAACAACATGCCTTTCAACCACCTTGCTCATAGGTTTCGGGGTTGAGAGGGTTAATATCATAAATGTGCTAATAACTTGGATTAACGACGTCCAGCTGACTAAGAAAGTCGTTGGTTTGTGGCGGCCCTCGACATGAGAGAGCGAGGTGGACATAAATACGGTCAGGTTTGTTGTCAGCAGTAAAGCATGGCTTGATTTATGCTCACTAAATAGTACAGAAGTGGCTTGTTGAACCTAATAAACAGAGATCACACACATTGTGCCGGAATCAGCATAACAGCAATAAAAATGTCTGATGCCCATCATACATAAACATTGATGAATTGGCTTGGAAATCATACAAATAAGGATTAATTCTAACATTAGAACTTGTCTAATAGTCATGAAAAGCAACTGATGTGATTGTCCATCAGTGTTAAAATGCAGGAACAGGCCAATGTAGTATCACTTTTTTTAAACCAAAGGAATAGAGGTTTAAGGATGTAACTGAGCTCAGGTGCAGCTCACAGACTAAGAAGAGTGAGTTCAGGTAAATAAAGCCGCATTTCTAGCTTCACACATATGCTCACTGCTTCGTCAGCTTCAAGTCGACTGTGTGA